TAAATAATAGAGAAATATGTTGTAAGTGAGCGTGAGAGCTTTTGTGTAATGTAGAAGCATGCCAAACTGTGTCCAAATGCCTTGTATTTGTAGTTGACGAGACTTTACGAGTGGTTTCCTAATTCTCTGCGTGATATGACCTTCAATCCGTGATATTCTTTTCCTTCTTAGGCACTGCATGACTTTTCTTAACTGGTTTTATCCATAATCAATAGGTAAATCATGGTTTCTTGCCCATTTTGAGTTGATCCGGCCTCTCTTGTTGCTTGATTGTTGGATATATAATTTTCTTATGTAGAAGACAATCAATTTCATCCAATAAGGGGGTGTCTTGCGGCTTAAGTCAATCGTTGATTTTTTTCCTCATTAATTCTTTTAACTGGAGCAATTGATTTCTTTCATTTTCTACTTGATTTTGTTGCCAAATCCCGTATTCATCGACTCGTGGGATCAACCAGTGGAGTTGATCAGTCAAGCAGTTAATTCTGCCTACTCGGAGAGTCGTGATAACTCGTTTAGTGACTTTCCAGAACTAGGGTTGCCACGTATATAATGAGAGATGAGATACGAAATCTAAACTCAACAATGATCATGATATTTTACACATAACTAGTTGGTGAAACTCTAATTGTGCATGCATTAGAAGTATAAAGTGCATGAAGTGTGCAATCTATTCTGTGAGATTTTTTTTAATTATTTTAATCAATCATACTTTGTGTGATGATAGAATTAGTGTGCGAACAGCAAATTAATAAATTCAATTAAACATCTAAATGTGTAATTAATCATGATTGGGACTTACTGGCCGCGTTTGAAATTCGTTTCAAAATGATTTTATTTTTTGTATGAAAATAAAAATGAAAACGTTTTTAATCTCAGATTTGGTAGTTTTATCAAGAGATTATTTTCAGTGTAAAAAACATATTAATGTCTCTTTTTCTATTTCTCTGTTCTAGAGAGGAAAAAATGAAAACAAAAACTGAAAAATGACTAAAAATCATTTTTTATTTATCTCTTATTTTACACTAAATTAAAAAATTATTTTTATTTTTATTTTTTATTTTTATTACGCAAAACATCATTTTAAAAACGTTTTATTTTTTTTTTTAAAACTTAAAAAATAAAAACGATATCAATTCTAAATACCACCACTAAATGAAAACAAGCACGGTAACTGAAAAATCATTAGATGAGATATTGATTCTTTTTTCTTTTTAGCGGCATTTACAAAAGCGTTGAAAGCTGCTTCGGTCACAATAGATTTCGATAGATCGACATTCCTTTTTCTGACTTTAAATTATTTTAAATTTAAATAGTAAAGAAGAAGAAAACTATCTAAGCTTTTAGACATTAGACAGCCGCAATTATTCTATTCCAGTGGATCCATTTATTTTTGTTTATATTTGTGGACTTGTCCTGATATTGGGTTATTGAAATTCTTAAGACCATCACAAATTCTACGGCCATAATTAATCATCATAACTGGAGAAAATTTAAAGAATAATATCCAATGAAATACAGAATGTCACATTTTAAATCTTGATTAGTCCCCAGTGACTCAAACTACAGAGTACAGACCCACGCTTCAGTTTGGATTTCAGAAAGAAAAAGTAAATTTGCCGACAAAACTCTAGGACTGTTTATGAATTGAGTTAGTGCGGGGTAATATTTTTTATTTTCCCGTTTTAAAGGGTGTGAGTTGTACATATTTAACTCTAATGATGTTAGAAAAATTTAACAACCTAATGATGTTTATGTTGGGTTGGGGCAGTGCGGGGTGAGTTGAGTTGTCAGTTTCAACATTTAAAAAATTAAACACTCAAAGTTCAATCTAACATTCAAAGTTCATCATTAAATAGAGATAATAACTCCAACATTTAAATAGATAGAAATTCAAAGTTCAATCCAACATTAAACATGAAGTAAAGTAGTTCATCCAACATCAAACATAAAGCAAACATAAATTAGTCTACACTCATAGATTAGTCTTAACATAAAGCAAACATAGAGGCTTAATTCAAACATGAAAAAACTAGAGAGTATAAATGAGTTGTCTGCCTAATATTAGATATTAGAGGAGACAAGTTATAGCGCGGGTTGGATTGGAGTGTGTGGGCCATTATAAGCCCAACCTACACCCCGCCCTAAAACTTCAGGACAGACATTGAATGAGCCGAAAAAATTTAATACTAAAAATTATATTTTTTGGGTTAAGTTGGTGTGAGGTGATTTGGGTCTACGGGTTTATGAACAGCCCTACAAAACTCCCATTAGAGAAAGAAAAAAAGATTAATTTTATAAATGACTCTTAAACTATGTACCTCATCTTAACATGCACCTGAATTTTAAAAAGATTCGTTTCACCTCTAAAATATGAATAGTGATTCAAAATACATCATGAACTATTTTTTTTTTCAAAAAAATACATCTGAATTTGTTTATTATTCCCTAATCTCTTAAGAAGTTAAGGAGCAAGTTGAGACAAAAGTAATAATTCAAATTAATAATTTAGAGGGCATTTATAAAAATATGAATAGTGTCATGTCATCTATTTATTGCCTCATGAACTAAATTTTTTCATAAATACCCTCGAAATTGTTACTTATTCCATGATCTTTTAAGAAATAATGAAACAAGTTGACACAAAAATAATAATTTAAATTAATAATTTGGAGGGATTTATAAAAATATAAATAGTGTTATGTTATTAATTTATTAGTTTTATAAATATATGTGACATTTTAAATTAGGATACATATTTCAAGAGATGAAATGAATTTTTTTTTTAAAATTAAAAGGTAAAATTCATGAGGCATTTATGGTACTTTTATTTTGGGATTTTTTTAATAAAAAAATTATAATAGTTTTTTTTAATGTCTCATTTAATTTATTAATTTGAGTTTTTAATTTAAATTAAAATATTATTTTATGTGAGAATTTTTAACTGTAATAAAAAAAATTAAATATAATTTTTAATAAATTTTTTTAATTATAATAAAATTAAAAATAAAAATTTAACTCAATAAAATGAATAAGACTTCAAAAAACATCAGCGGACAATGTAATCTTTATTAAAATTTAAATATGGGACCCAAGGTAGTCCTTTATGCAGATTCACTGGAAGTAATACGACATCGTTTTCTAATGTCTATAATTAGGAAATGTGAATCCTTATCAGTAGCGTCATGAATAAATAAAATTAAAAATAAAAATTTAAATCGATAAAATGAGTAAGCCTTCAAAAAAACATCATTACTGATAATGTAATCTTTATTAAAATTTAAATATGGGACCCAAGGTAGTCCTTTATGCAGATTCACTGGAAGTAATACGACATCGTTTTCTAATGTCTATAATTAGGAAATGTGAATCCTTATCAGTAGCGTCATGAATATAAAAGTCTAAAAGTAGGTCCCGCAGAAAAGGAACTGACTCATCAAGTCCTTGAAAGCGACAAAATTATATCCACTATCCAGAGTCCACAACATCTTTTTTTTTTTTCTTCTTCTTTATTTTTCGCTGGCCCACAAATAAATTAAAGACCACAATTAATTAGCCATTAGCTAACATAATTCCAGATTAAACAGTACAAGCTCACTTATATCACTCCCTAGTCTGTCGGTAACACAAGCTACTTTACTTCACTGTCTTCTCTCCCAAACCAAACCATGGCTACACCCACATTTCTCTCCCTTTCCTTTCCTTTTCTCTTTCTTTTCTTTTTCTGCAACTTCGTGACTGAAACGCTGTCGTTTTCAGGCGAACAGGCGGCGCTCAAGACGTTCATTTTCCGAGTCGACAGCCACACCAAGCCCTCCATCTTCCCGACCCACTACCACTGGTACACCACCGAGTTCGCCGACCCGCCCCAAATCCTCCACGTGTACGACACCGTTTTCAACGGATTCTCCGCCGTTCTCTCCAGCGACCAGGTAGCTTACGCCAGCCGCCACCCCTCCGTCCTCGCCGTCTTCGAGGACAAGCGCCGCCAGCTCCACACCACTCGCTCCCCGCAGTTTCTCGGGCTGAGAAACCAGCGCGGTCTCTGGTCGGAATCTGATTACGGCTCCGACGTCATCATCGGCGTTTTCGATACTGGAATATGGCCGGAGAGGAGAAGCTTCTCGGATTTGAATCTCGGGCCGATTCCCAGCCGTTGGAAAGGAGTATGTGAATCCGGAGCCAAATTCTCCGTCAGGAACTGCAACAGGAAGCTGATCGGAGCGAGATTCTTCTCCAAAGGTCACGAGGCGGCTGGGAGTATCGGCGGTCCGATAAGCGGAGTGAACGACACCCTTGAGTTTCGCTCTCCGAGAGACGCCGACGGCCATGGGACCCACACGGCGTCGACGGCCGCGGGAAGATACGCTTTTGAGGCGAGCATGGCCGGTTACGCATCGGGAATCGCGAAAGGCGTGGCTCCGAAGGCTCGATTGGCGGTGTACAAGGTATGCTGGAAGAATTCCGGTTGCTTCGATTCCGATATATTGGCCGCATTTGATGCCGCCGTCAACGACGGCGTCGACGTTATATCGATCTCGATCGGAGGCGGCGACGGCATTTCCTCTCCCTATTACCTCGATCCGATCGCTATCGGAGCATACGGCGCCGTTTCCAAGGGAGTCTTCGTGTCGTCTTCTGCTGGAAACGACGGACCAAACGGAATGTCAGTCACCAACCTCGCGCCGTGGATGACCACCGTCGGAGCCGGCACGATAGACAGGACTTTCCCGGCGGTGATTGTTCTCGGCGATGGGAGAAGACTCTCGGGAGTGTCTCTTTACGCTGGAGCTCCATTGAAGGGGAAAATGTACCCTCTGGTTTACCCAGGTAAATCTGGAATGCTTCCTGCTTCTCTGTGTATGGAGAATTCTCTGGATCCGAATCTGGTCAGGGGCAAAATCGTCATCTGCGACCGCGGAAGTAGCCCAAGAGTGGCGAAAGGCATGGTGGTGAAGAAGGCCGGCGGCGTGGGTATGATCCTCTCCAATGGAATCTCCCAAGGCGGTGGCTTAGTGGGCGATGCTCACATCCTCCCCGCTTGCGCCGTCGGCTCCGACGAAGGCAATGCCGTGAAGGCCTACGTGTCGTCAGCTTCTAATCCCACTGCCACAATCGATTTCCAAGGAACCGTCATCGGAATCAAACCGGCTCCGATCGTGGCTTCCTTCTCGGGAAGAGGACCGAACTCTGTCAACCCGGAGATTCTCAAACCTGATTTGATTGCTCCGGGAGTCAACATCCTCGCCGCCTGGACGGACGCCGTCGGACCTACCGGATTGGATTCCGACAAGAGGAAGACAGAGTTCAACATTCTGTCGGGAACGTCAATGGCGTGCCCTCATGTCAGTGGAGCCGCGGCGCTCCTCAAGTCGGCGCATCCGGATTGGAGCCCTGCGGCCATAAGATCCGCCATGATGACCACCGCAAGCATCGTCGATAACCGGAACCAGCTCATGACCGACGAATCCACCGGAAAATCCTCTACGCCCTACGATCTCGGAGCCGGCCACCTCAATCTCGACCGGGCTATGGACCCAGGACTCGTCTACGACATCACCAACGACGATCACGTGAACTTTCTGTGCTCGATAGGGTACGGCCCGAAGGTAATCCAGGTGATCACGAGAACGCCGGTGAAATGTCCAGTGAAGAGGCCATTGCCGGAGAATCTCAATTATCCTTCAATGGCGGCTCTGTTCCCGACCTCGTCGAGAGGGAGTACGAGCAAGATGTTTATCCGGACGGTGACGAATGTGGGTGCGCCGAACTCGGTGTACCGGGCGAGGATCGAGGCGCCGAAGGGGGTAACGGTGAGGGTGAAACCGGCGAAGCTGGTGTTCACGGAGGCCGTGAAGAAGCAGAGCTTCGTCGTGACGGTGACGGCGGATGCCCGGAGCTTGGTACTGGGCGAGTCCGGGGCGAATTTCGGGTCGCTTTCTTGGACGGATGGAAAGCATGTCGTTCGGAGCCCCATAGTGGTTACCGAGATACAGCCGTTGTAAAACGACAGAAGATACGAAGGGACCCATCATGTCGTTTTGATCGGTCAGGCTCATGGGCTCTAGTTTTAGAAGTCGCTACGCATAATAGAGGGTTTTAACTTTTTAAGTTAAACTTCTTGCAGTGGTTTTTTTTTTTTAAATTTGTTTTAAGTTTTAAGTTTTTGTTTTTGTTTACGTTCTTGGCATTGTAGATCTGATGGACTATATTCTATATAGGGCCCGGGACAAAACGGAGGGCTGGTCTAGTGTGAACTTTCTCTTTCTTTCGATTTTTATTTATTATTTTTTTCCTTTAATTTATCTCTTGAAATGCCTACAGATGTATCTATAGACTTATAGGCATCTAAGAGTATTATGAACTTATTATTACTGTCCAAATCTTAGTATCCACTTTTTCACACATGATCATTTGTAGCTTAGACGAGTTTTTAAGGTCTCGTTTTATTTTAGAGATTTAAATTTTTAATGTGAATGTGATATTTTTTTAAAGTTTTTTATTATAATATAAAAATTTAATATGATATTTTTTAAGATTTTTTACAATAAAAATTAAAAATTAAAAATTTAAATTAATAAAATAAACATGCCTATAATAGTTGTATTACAACGACAAGCATGTGTATTGACCACCAAAGTCTCGAATTATTTACCTTTCTTTCTTTTGGAGAAAAGCAACCTACTAAGGAAAATTGAGCTGAAGAGACTAGCGCCTTTCGCGGCGCAGGGCACTGAATTGGTTTTGGCTTTGGGACAGACAAGTAGGCTTAAGTTTGTACTATTGACTTTTTAAGCATTTTCTTCCCATCGTCTTTAATGTGTTTGACAAACTCGTTGGAGCAACAATCTTCAAACAAAAAAACCGAAAGCAATCTTCTTGATTATGATTGAAGGGCCTTCCTCTTGAAGATGAACACTAGAAATACACAATTAATTAATGAGCCAAAAACTAGTCTAAAGATTCAATCTTTTGACCAACCGACCAAGTAGCATGGTTTCACTTGAGCGAAAACCCCTTTTCTTTTCCCTTTAAAGAGAGAAAGACAACCGTTATTTTCATCTTGATTTTTTTTTTTAATTACACTTTTGTTGCACGCTACAATTACATTCTCGAATGTTGCCGTTACATGGTCAAAGTTTCTTTTATTTTATTTTATTTTATCCCTTTTGTCCTCCTAATTTTCTGGTCCATTCCGAGGATCACTTATATATATATATATATTCTCTAGGGAAATTATTATTTATTATCTATTATCGTTTCATATGTCGAGAACACAAATACCAATATATGATTGGTAAACAATTCTATCATATACTAATATACTGATTTCTATTTTACTAAGCCAACTAGATTAATTAATAATAAGTATTGATGTGGTATGTTGTACAATTGCTACAATATGTGCATATAATCTAAGAGCAAGACGTCAGAATAGAATAGTATTATCTTTTTTAAGAAATCAAATTAATATCCCAAGTTTGCATGTATGGATTCTTTCTTGTAATACATTACTAATATATATATATATATATATATATATATATGTTTTACCTATACGTACCTATCTGATGTGTTTCATGGGCATGTGAAGGAAATATGTGTTATTTTTCTCTTTCAATTAAAATAACAACAAATGAATTAACCGTTTAGAATCTTAGAGCCCGTTTAGTTCACTGATTCGAGTTTTTAATTCGAATTTATATGTAACTTTATGTGAGAGATTTTTATTATAATAAAAAAGTTAAATGTGACTATTTTTTAAGATTTTTTACTATAATAAAACTCAAATTTTAAACTCAAATTAATAAAATGAATAAAGTCTTAATATTGTCTCGTTGAAAGCGCTGATTCTTACTGCAATTTAGGCGTTAAAGTGATTGTTCTCCTTCCAATGTTAATAAAGCAAAACAAAACAAAACAAACTCATCAGCTTTATTCTTTCTTTAATTTTGTGGTTGTTAAACATTGCTCTAATCTCCACGGTTGATCAAGACCCCGATGTCAAATTTGTTTAACAATCAATTAAAAACCTTTCATATTCTTATCTACAATAGGAAAATCAACTTTATTGGGTGAAGATGCTTTTAAAAGGGAGTTAAGAAAGATGATTGATAGGTCCTCCTGCCACATGGCAACAGCAAATTCTCATTTGCTTTTAAACTAACTCCGGATTTCTGTCATAAAAGATTAGTCCCCACAAACTAATAAAAAAAAAAGGCGGGGAAGGACCCTAAAACCTAATTTTGGTCACTTGATGCAATCAAGCACATAGATATGGCAAAAGAAATTTGAGACTTTAATGGGATTTGACGTTTCAGTGAGCAAATAAATTAGTGGAACATAACTGGTACATATAATTCACAAAAGATTTGTGCCCACCATTTAGTCACGAAAGAGACACAAAGGGTCAGCCATTAATTAAAGGCCTCAATCATTTGATCTATATAGGTGAAACTTGTCGTGTCAATAGTCCCGAAAAGGGAAATATATGGGGGGCTGTGAAACTTTGCTGATTTTGTGTTGGGTCTTATCAGTTTAATTGAAACCTCTAAATTGTTGTTTCAATTTAATAGTTGAGATGCTTTGATAAAGTATAGTCACATTGGTTTACTTGTTTGATTTAGAAAGGGTGAGTAGAGCCAAACTTCGCTTAGATTTGGCCCCATTTTGATACCTCTAATTTAGTTTTTTTTTTTCTAAAAAAAAAAAAAAAAAAAAATTTGAAAACCCCTAGTTTAGATTGAACCAAATAAAAAAGTTAAATTGACCCTTTATCTTTTTCTTGGGGCGATTTAAATCGGCTCCAAAATCCATGTTATAGAATTCATTAATCTTTTGCGGGGTTAGTTCCACGTTAAACCCTACAATTTTTTTGTTTATAAATCTAAGATCAACTCCATTACATTTTGTGCTGCATCTAGGCAGTGACCAAAAAATAATCTGTCATCATATAAGAAGCGTCCCACCAAAATAGTTTTTAGTTTATAGAGAGTAAAAAATAATAATAATAATAATAATAAGCATATGTTAGAGATCCATAACAGGTGGAAAATTTCAAGGAGGAACATGATTTGTAGTCAAGGTAAAGTTCTTCCATGTAACATGATCTTACCTACTATCACTAAAGAGCAAATCTGCTAGTTTGTTCTGTAGTGGGAAGCTAATCTATATGTCGGCTTGTGTTTTTTTTTTCTTTTTTTTTTTTTCCTAATCTGTTCTAATATGTTTCTTAATGTCCTGGGATGATTTCTGCGTTGGGTTTTATAAATGTTGAGGAACTATGAATATGATGTCACACCCACCAAAGAAAGTGACTGATGAAGCTGAGTGAGTGCGCATCTGGTGTGGAAGCTACTTTTTCCCATATAATGTATAATCTTTTTCTTGGTTGTTATGTCGATTAGACATGACTAGTGGTCGTATTACTTGGCCAAATACTAGATTATAAGCACTCACAAACATATTTATAAGCTAACGCTTCATCTAGATTAATTCCACTGATGCACCTCATTTCTAATTTATCAGATATGTCACCTTGGCTTGTATTGAAAAAAATAAAATAAAATAAAAAAAATCTCTGATGTTTCCTTCTTTTCCTTTCGTATTCATTTATTTATTTATTGAAGTAGTTGTATATGATATACAATTTACAAACACAAAATTTGGGCCAAAACTCAGCCCAAAACCGTCAACTAAAAATTGGGTTATTGGATTGTATAGTTTGCTTATTTGGCATAGTGACTACTGAGTCCCTAGGCAGAAGTCATAAGGATTTTAAAGAGAAACTTGTAAAATTTACCTGAGTGAATGAGTCTGGACTTTTACTCTTTATTTTGAATAAATATCCTTTTAATAATATAATTATTTGATTAAAAAGGTTATAAATTAAACGTAAAGGGTAAAAATTCTGATTCATGTATTTTTAAGGGGTATTTGTCAAGATTACCCGGCGTTAAAAGAGATTCTCAGCCAAAGTCGCAAGGAATTCCATTGAGGAAGCTAATCCCTGGATTTTTGGTCAATCCACTCTTCGTCAGACTCTGCCTCAATACTTCAGCATCATGAAACCTCCCAACTGATGCATATATATTTGAGAGAAGCACAACTTGACCAGATTTATCAGGGTCTTTCTCAAACACCCTTCTCGCAGCATATTCTGCAAGGTCAACGTTACCGTGAAGCAGACATCCACTAAGCAAAGCCCTCCAAGCATTTGGACCTGCAGATTCCACTAATTTTATGGCAACCCCACTTGCATCCGGCAAGCACCCGGCTCGGGCAAGTAAGTCAACTACACATCCATAATGCTCTTCACTTAGCTTCACTTTATTCTCTTCCACCATTTGATGAAGTATCATCAAACCATCATCTACCAAGCCTGCATGACTACAAGCATTCAAAACGCAGAGGTAGGTCGTACTATCGGGATCTTCTCCATAATTCGTCATCTCATTGAAGAGAGCTAGAGCAGTTTCTCCGTAGCCGTTTATGCCACATCCGTTCAGGATTGCATTCCAAGATACTATATTGCGAAGGTCGCCCATTTCCTTGAAAACATCTCGAGCAAGTTTCATATCACCACATTTAGAGTATGTTGATATGAGACTATTTTGGACTGATCTATATCGAGGCAAACCCACTTGAAAAGCATAGCAGTGGAGCTGCCGGCAGAGCTCTAAAGCAACAAGTTCTCCTGAAGCAGTTAAGCCACTGATCACCATTACTGAATCAAGTCTGAAGTTCTCTTCCAGTCTTACTTTAGTCCAGAGATTCAAAGCCTCCTTAGGGCATCCATTTTGCAAATAGGCTGAAATCATCGCTGTATATGATACCAAACTCTTCCAAGTTGTTTGGTGAAAAAGAGCACTCGAGGAACGTAAATCGCCGCACTTGGCGTACATCGAAATAAGAGAATTTGTGAAAGCAAGCTTTGATCCAAACCCGCAAGTAACAGCTTGAGCATGGACTTGTTTGCCTTTCTTCAAATCTCCCAGGATTACACAGGTGGAACATAGATTCATATAGACTACTGTGTCACAACTGATTCCACTATCTCTCATTTTGCTAAAGAGCTCTAAAGCATCACGAGCACAATCAAGTCGAACTAAGAGACCCATCATAGTTGTCCAACTGATAACGTCTCGAGACTTCATTATGTCAAAGATCTTTCTTGCTGCTCTTAAATCTGTCAAACTTGAATACATATCAAGAATTGCATTACTAACAGATACATCAGAAATGAGATCCAACTTCACAAGTAAACCATGGATAGACTCAGAAAGCCCTTTCCACCCAAAAGTAACAGAAGCCTGGATAAGTGTCAATGTTGTTGCAACATCAGGTACCAGGCCAAGCTTTCTAAACCGATTAAACAATGAGATAGCCTCTTCAAATAGTTCATTACATACAAACCCAGTAATAATCGCGTTGCACGAAACTAAACTCGGATCATCCAGTCTCTCAAATAATTTATAAGAATAAAAAACTTTCCCACACCTTGCATATCTATCTAATAATGCAGTGCCTACAATGGAATCAGACTCCAAACCACACTTGACAGTCAGTCCATGAACTAAATGTGGTACTAGATTGCCACCAAGAAGACCAACTATGGTGAAAGAATTCGGAACCAAACCCAAATTCCTCATATGGGAAAATGATTTCATGGCTTTGCAGTGAAGCCCATTTTTAGAATACCCATGAATCATAATAGAATAAGAAACAACATTTCTCTCAGGAATTTCTTCGAACAACTTCTCGGCATCTTCAACACGCCCGGATTTAAAGTAACTGCTTAAAATTCTGGAAGAATTGTACAAGTCAACCCCGCCATGAGGACCACGCTCTGACGTAAAAGAAAGGTTCTGAAGTAGCCGAAAAGCAAAGTGGCCACTCTTGATCTTCCTCAAGATCATAGAAATATAAGTTGTGTTGAACTTGTGGCTTACGTAAAATATCACAGTTTCTTATGGTTTCAGCTCTTTGGAACAATACAAACCAAAACTTCAACTTTCGGGAGGCTTGTGGGAAGAAAGAGATAATCAAGGGCAGAAAAACTGCATCTCCGACATCAAATCCCACTGTCTGGGATCTCGTAAGTGGCGAAATGACGGCGATGCATCCTGCTAACTGTCTTTTCAAGACGACGAAGAAAAAAAAAAAAAAGTATCCAGGGAAACTAAAGAGAATGAAAGGATGTCATGCAGTAATTCGTCGTTTACTTAAAGCGCAACCACATGTTTTAATGAAACACGTGCCCCAAACACGTGTTAACACAACATATGACATATCTATAAATAATACATCTCATACAGTACAAGCTTTATAGGACAAGCAATTCGTCGTTTACTTAAAAGCACAACCACATGTTTTAATGAAACACGTACCCCAAACACGTGTTAACACATTTGAGGCATAAACAATCTTTATTAATAATAACATGTCACATATAACTGATATAACTGACAGTGAACTCTTACTCATACAACTATTGACTCTTATAATCTCAAATGAGATCGTATTTTTAAAACACTTAATAGATATATTTTTAGTAGATATGTTAATATGTTGTTTATAGAAGTGTTTTTAATAACAACAAGGCCTTTTAACACTTTCTCTTTTACATTTGAATCATGATTTGGATTTTAATTCAAATTTTTTATGAGAAAATTATTAGTAAAATTTTTTTTAATTTAAATTTTTTGTGAAATGAACATAACAGAATTATGATTTGAGTTTTAAATATATATACCAAATAACCCTGTATTTTATGGGCATCTTGTTCACCTTTACTTTTACTAATTATTTTTTGAACTTTCATTTTTCATTTTTCTTGGTAGTTCTAACCCTGACCATAAATAATAAATTTCTTTAGTTAAAAAAATATAATCAGATAATTCCCCATTAAAAGCGCAATTATACTTATCCTTCCTAATAAGATAATTTTCCATTTTTATTGAAAAAATTCACCATCTTCATTCCCATTTTGCTTCTTTTTTTTCCTCACTTCGTTCATCAATGGCAAGTTCATGCACTACAAACAGTGGTGACAGTGACTGGGTAAACGAAGAAATTTGATGTCCTATTCGACGTCGATGTGGGTTGGATCTGATAGTAAAGACATCACACACGAATAAGAATCCAGGGAGATAATTTTATGGTTGCATTCGTTATAAGGTAAATAGTTTAACATTGGACAACAAAGCTTTTGTATATTTAGCTTGAATCTAGTTAATTTGGGTTTGATTGGGATTGTGGTTTGATTTTGTTTTAGTTCGGGGGAAATTTTTAAAATTAATCCTTAATTTTATGATTGAACAAAGAATGAAGAAGAGAGAGGCTGTGGGTTCGGAAAGTGGCTTGATAGTGGAGAAAATTTCCGTGCAAGAGAGTTGGTTCCAGAATTAGATTTCAGTGCAAGAGATGTGGTTCTAGAATTAGTCGAAAGGCTTGACAAGTTGAACTAAAAAATTGATAGCTTGGATGAAGAAATTATGAAGTTGAAGGACGCACTTGGAAGAATAGTGTAGAAACTGAGATGAAAATATACAATAAAGATTAATTTTTCCTCAAAATTTTCTTTTTGGGGGAAAAGTTTTAACCATAACACAACCAAAAAAATTGACAAAATGAGTTTTTTTAACGCATTTGAGTTTTTTCAATCGCTTTTTAATAATTTAGAGTTGTTGCAGGTTAATTTACGATAATATCCTCATCAAATGATTCATGTACCTGACACGTGATGATTTTTGTCACTTATTATAATAGAAAGATAAAACTTAACTACGGAATAAAATTTAAAAAGAACTAATGTTATTTTTTAAATTTTAGAAAATAAAATATTATAAAAATTATAATTGGAAAGGATTTTTTAAAATTAATCCAGAATAATTTAATTCCCTTTCCTGAAATTCAATTCCTTATTAATAAAGGCGCCCTAATGGATGCAATTGCCAATCTTGGGTCGTGAAATCCACGGAACCCGTAACCGTACTAAACATCACAGATCCTGTACTCGATGAAAGCGCTCGAGAAACTTCCCCATTCTGAAAGTAGTTAACATCTTTTATACGCAGTCCAACCTCTTCTCTAGTTTCAACGCTTGTCACACTGCGTCCCCACGGCTGCCACGTGTTTCCCGATTTAAACCGACACGCCTTCTTCTTCTTCCTTCGCCTCTACGATTTCTTACTCCTGTAGCGAAGCTATACTCCCATCTCTTACAAAATTGCATACACACACACACACACACACACATATATATATATATATATGTACACAAACACTTTCCAATTCCGATCATAACTCAGTAGTTCTACTCCGACAAACAGTACAATATAGTACCAAGATGTCTTACCCAAAGTCGACCCCAGAAATCTCTCTCTACCCAGAAGTCATTCTCACAAACCCAGAAGCCACTTCTCCTCTCCTCTCCAAGCCGACCACCACCACCTCTTCTTCTTTGTACCCTGCCATTGACATGACGGACGTCGCCGACAATCTCTTCCCCGACGACGACGCCGTTTCGACCCACCCCTCCGAGGAGGTGCTGGTCACGATCCCCGGCGCGATGCTCCACCTCATCGAGAACGACAACAGCGTCGAGCTCGCCTGCGGCGATTTCTCCGTGGTCGGCCTCCGGCAAGGCGCCAACATCGTCGCCGTCCTCGCCCGCATCGGCGACGAGATCCAGTGGCCGCTGGCGAAAGACGAAGCCACCGTGAAGCTCGACGAGTCGCACTACTTCTTCACCCTCCGAGTCCCTTCCACCGACGAATTCGCGACCGAGAGCGACGACGGCGAGATCGTCTCCGTCGCGGCGGGGCAGTTCGAGGTGCTAAATTACGGCCTGACGATCGCATCCAAAGGGCAGGAGGGTTTGCTGAAGGAATTGGATCGAATTCTGGAGACGTACAGCTGCTTCTCGACGGAGAAGGTGACGGGAGGGGAATTTAGGGTTTTGGACGGGGCGGTGGCGAGGGAGACGACAGCGGAGGAGATGAGATCGGAGTCGGAGAAGATGGAGAGGTTGAGGGAGAGCTCGGCGGCGTATTGGACGACGCTGGCGCCGAATGTGGAGGAGTACGGGGGGCGGGTGGCGAAGATGATTGCGGCCGGGTCGGGGCAGCTCATCAGAGGGATCTTGTGGTGCGGCGACGTGACGGTGGATAGGCTCAAGTGGGGGGATGAGTTCTTGAGGAAGAGACTGGCGGCCACTTCCACTGCCACCGTTTGTCCTCGTACCTTAAGGAGGATCAAGAGGTTAGTAAATTTCTTGTTACAATGTTTTGGATTTACTAAACGTTTCTTATTATATTTCGTATCATCACTGCTGTATTTATATTCCGCGTTTGTGTTAGGTTTTAGAGAATAGCTTCCTCGTACAAGCTCTGCCTATTTCTTTACATTTTGCACCATGTTTAGGATTTTAGTCATCACATGTTTTGATCTTTGGCCATTCACCTTGCACCACGCCTTAAAATTAATTCGATGTCCTTGAATTGTTGTTATGTCTATGTTGTGGAAATGGTATGTTGACATAGTTGTTTCAACATTTTGTAGGGTTAAGAAGCTGACAAAGATGTCGGAGAATGTGGCCCTTGGAATCCTTTCTGGGGTCATCAAAGTATCAGGATTCTTCACGAGTTCGATAGTGAACTCTGCAGTGGGCAAGAAATTTTTTAGCCTCATGCCTGGAGAGATTGTCCTTGCTTCCTTGGACGGATTCTGTAAGTAGTTCATCTCAAACTCTTAAATTCTAATTCCCTTAAGACATTGTCATTTTTGAACTTCATGTCAGAAAACTTGCCATTTTCACGGCTCTCAATCGTTTTGATAACGTGTGTACGGTGCACAGCTAAAGTCTGCGATGCTATTGAAGTCGCTGGAAGGAATGTCATATCAACCACATCGGTTGTGACCACTGGACTTGTTTCTCAGAGGTAATTCTCATTCAAGGACGAAAATACAGCCTCTAGTTTCTATTTTAGATTCATGGTGCATCATGAAACTACTTTTTCATGATGTGTATTATTCTTCATTTAATTATGGAAAACGTATGCTTCATTTTGATGCCGCTTGTGCAGTAAGTATACTTATAACATGATTCCCATATATCGTTTGGGTGATAAAGATGAAAGCTATTGAAATCATGTGTATTTCAGTTTCTAAAGTATGAGATTGATTGTGTTTTGGTGATTTGAACGCATGCACAGGTATGGAGAACAAGCAGGACAGGCGACAAATGAAGGGCTTGATGCGGCAGGGCATGCTATTGGGACTGCATGGGCCGTCTTTAAGATAAGAAAAGCTCTCAATCCAAAGAGCGTTATTAAACCCACAACTCTTGCTAAAGTTGCTGCTGGAGCCAACTCTCCTCAGTTGAGGAGGGCTAAAACCAAGTAGTGACCTCAGAAACAGTTCTCTCTGCCTACGGTTAGCAAATGTAGCTTAGAGTGGAAACCTTTGTATGAATAGCGGAAGGAATTGCAAATATATGTTGGTTCTTTGTAACATGTTCACCCAGTAGTAAAAGTTTTTTTTTGCCCTATTATATTATTACTTTACTGAATCGGTATTCAACTGGTTCTATAATTTCATCGTGTGCTTTAGAGGATATACATTGGATTTGATTATCATATCAATATAGCATGTTGAGACAATCCTATTCGAGGCGATAAAAGATGAAAGGGGATTAGAGCTAGTTGCTATAATGTGACGTCAAAGAACATTAGTTATGCCAACTGAGGTTCTTTTGCCCAAGTATGTATCCCATTCTGCAGCAACTATAGGATTTTTGGTCTTTCATTATCATAAACATTGATGTGTTCTTTAATGTAATCATTACATATGAGATTGTAGCACAAGTAGTGACAAGTTGGCCATTCAACCTTCTCTTCTCTCTCTCTCTCGGGTGTTAGTGGAGTTTTCTATTGCTATAGAAATATTTGGGAGAAGATAAGATAAGCAGAAGAAAATCCAACTTTTGAAACAAGACTAATCGCTAGGATTTGAAAATTATTTTATTAGTACCATACGGTTATATATATATATATATATATATTATTAGAATCCGCCATTATTTAGGTGCAATTTGATTTTCGGTTTTCAACATGATTCCCAACAATTTTAAATGTTCTAACAAGGAAAAGTAAACTGAGCGGATTAATGAAAAGAAAAGCTTAGAACTCAAATATTTAATGATGGTTAAAAGATAACAACCTTTTTTGGGAGCTAAAAAGAGTAAAAGATACATACATATTATTTCTTAATAAAAACTCCACTCAAATGTCCACATTTTTTTTCTTTTCTAACTCACTTCTGAGTTCTGACAATATAACAGATACTGAATTAGTACTTAAAAAATAAATATCTGTGGTAGATAAGAACCTGCAATCCTAATCTCAATAACTAGTTTTAAAAGGCTTGTAAGTCTTGAGATCAAGAACCACCCCAGCAAAAGAGCCAACAGCAGCTGCTATAGAGACAAAAAGACAAGTCACACTGAGTATCTGAAGGCCAAGCCATCTTCCAGTCCAACGCCCAATCTTCTTCTGAGCAATGTACATCTCAACAGGAAAATAAACTGTCAGAGGCCAGAATCCAAAGGCTCCAAGTATTCCAACAACATCATTGAAGAAGGGCATGAGCATGGCAATAACAGTGGTCAACATGACAAATATGGTCCTCCAAACCAAGCGGAAAAAGTTGACTTGGTATACTCCGTAGAAGGGGATTGGTATGTCGTACTCCGCCGTCACAAAGTCGCTCTTTGGCCATTTCTGAGCACTCCATTTCTCCACAAAGGCAAACAGTGGCTGGCAAAAGACCTGCATTGTATAATAGTACACAAAGTTAAGAACTTGCATAGTTCTACAGTTTTAGGATTTAGGCTGTATTTTCTTTTAGTGAACTTGATAATACCTGATATGCACCAACAAGGTGGACAACAATGGCAACATTAGCAATGTCAAGTAGCCAATAGGGGTTGTAGAATCCGAATCCGGTCAAGAGATTTCCCGGGGACTCATCACCGAAAGCGGCATAGCCAAAACTGCCACAGAGCATGTAGAACACTGTTGTGACTGTTACACTGAGTACAGTGGCCTTCTTCATGGTCTTGTGTTCTGCAGGTGGAGATCTTATCGTGTCCTGCAGGCAATAACATAGAATTTCGTATGAAAAAGATGATAATATATTAGCTGTTGATGAGTAATTTGACTTAATTGTCAATTGGAAGTACCTGAATTTCAATTAGAACCAAGGAGAAAGAGTACGCGAAGGCGATAGCTCCAAGAGCTTGTAGACTCCTCCACATCTTCTGTGTGGCAGTGACTGTTCCAGCACGAGTTACTGTCCCTATGCTAATACCCAGTAAGCTTCCTTTAACCTTTCCATTTACTACAGAAGAAGAGAAACCACTTGTGTAAATATTATATCGACACACGCATATCAGATTGGTTATTAGTTATGTTTTATATGCCAGTAAAAGATAATTGTCACATGACGAAAAGTTAAAAAGCTGGGTCCCACTAAGCTACGTGGCAGTTTTCATCTACTAACACCTATCTAGCGATATATATACATATATACACGCATATATATGTATTGTACTTGTGTTACCTGCAACTTTGCCTATGCCAAGGCCAAGACCAACAGTGGAGTATGTGAAGGACATAATAGCTGCAACTATGGAGAGCCACCATACTTGACTGAAATCTTGGATCTGAGAAAATATGATCTCCGAGATTCCAAATGTTATCATGTACCCGTTGCTCGACATGTGGCACGGATCTTTCCCACCACTTTTGTGGAAACAGTTTGATCTCTTTATTGCCCTGAATACACAACACCAACAACAAAAAAGGCGCAAAAGAATATCACACATCTCAGTATCTCACATCCATCTAGTTAAATGAATCAACTGAAAAATTCTCCTCACATCATGCTGACAGATGCAGCAATTGTGTATCCAATTGCAACTCCAAACAAATTTAAGTATTGGATTAACCCGCATAGCATGGTCCTTTTCCCCCCTGAAACACCAAAATGGAATAGTGTCACTACCCCAATAAAAAGTAGTTATCATCATGATTCTATACAAAAGAAATCATTGAGAACATGTCTCTTACCCAAGTTGGCCTTGACCGCTTCCATGTAGGTGTAGTTTCTCTGACCGGTAACGCGATCACCGGTCCTGTAGCACTGGGCTAGGAGGTTGGAAGTGTAGAGATTGACAAAGGCAAAGAGTAACATGACAATAGGACCTGTAACCCAACCAAGCTGAGCCACAGCCCATGCCAAGGAAAGGACTCCTGACCCTATGACCGCGGTGATAATATGCGATGTCGCCGTCCAAAAAGTTCCTGCCACCAAATTTTATGATGGCCTTAATATCGTCTCAATGAACTAAGTAAAATAAACGACAGCTCACCGTTGAAGATGATCCTACTACTGAAAAAACTTGAACATGATATTACTTCAAACCCAAGTAATTGGTGATATTGTGTACCTGTTCTCTTCAAGCGACCATCATCATCGAAGCACTTGGAGTAGTTGGATTGCGGGTTTATTGCTTCAGCCTCACTAGCTTTAGGCTGGACTTCAACTTGCAAGTAGTGCCTGATATCATGTCTCTCTTCTACCTGAAAATAAATAAATAAATATAAATATATATATATATATATATATATAAAGGTCAATATAAGAGAAACAAATAGAATTATGATGTTATGAAAGATCATGAGGAGCTGATTCATGTATATCTCTTACAACTCCATTGTGAATCCTGCTCGGAAGAGTTCGACTTCTTGGCAACATGACTTTGAAGTGTCAGAATACAGAAAAAGGTTTCCTCAGAAATGCACAGAGAGAGAGAGAGAGAGAGATGTGTTAAGGAGAGACACAAAGATGAATTGGGTGCTTCACAATAGGAAGAGGGATTTTATAAGTGAATGTAATGACTTGAATAGAATGAGAGAAATGATAGTGCACCGCGTTTGTGAGCATTATTCGTGAAACACACCCTCTAGTGCATGTTACACATCACTATGTTCAACTTTCAAGTTTGAATCAGAATAAAAAAAGCATAGTATATTGCCTTTTTTTTTTTCTTTTTTGCTAATCATAGTATATTGCCTACTTGAAAATTATCTGAATAAGATTTCCCGAAATGGAATTAATTGAAAATAAAATATATAGTAGTAACAAAAAGTTACAATTCTTTTTTGGGGTTGGCACGTTGTTGAAAAGCATTGTAAAGTATAAAGATATTTAGCTGGTTATGATATATAGCAGTTTCACAAGTTATCATCTTGTGGACATGTGGCACACCGTAAGAGGGTCGAAAATAAGAACAAAATGTCACGTACTGTGTAGATAAAGCATTAGGATGTAAACCCTGCGACACAACCGCAACTTTTTGTAGCTTTTATGGAGATAGTTTCTTATATTCCAGTGAAAATTCAAGCACAAAAGGAATTCCGTTTTTTTTGCTCTAACCTCTACTGCAGTGTACAGCGTTTCCTCCCAAAACTAAAGAAATCTTCTCCCGAAGAACCAACTCAAAAGTTTCTAACAATCTATCGCAACACATCAAGCGACTCTTAACATTACAATTTCATACTCTCATGAACATACGCAACACTTTGTTTTCAGCACTTTTTTTCTGCTCAAATACGTTCAGCACAATACATAAAAAAAACTCCACACCATTGCTGCCGTTCAATGTCTAATCCAAAAAAGAACCTCCAGCCTCAAGAATTTCCAGCCATTAATTCTCAAAGTCCACTCTTCAATCTCAGCAATCAACTCGTCTGATTTTCAGCCCTTAAACCAGACAACCAGACTTTCCTTAAAAGGCTCACCTATTTGTTGTGCCAGCCAAGCTTTCAGCCAATTTGCAACCAATTTGCCAAATATAGTTTTCAACCAATTTGCCAAAAATAAGCCAATACAAAAATGCACTAACAATCTCCCCCTTTGGCTATTTTTGGCAAAACTAGCAAAAAAAACTTATTACAAGATAAAAGATAAAAAACCAACTACGAGGGTTAATTGAATTAAGAGTTCTCCCCCTTTTTGACAAAAGACAGCCAAAGTTAAAAAATAATACTAATAGAAAAACCTTTTAGAAGGTGTTGCTCCCCCTGAGTCCTCTACGAGTCTTACTCCCCCTGAATGTAACACTCTCTTAAACTT